ACCTCCAGTAGGACCAGCGTAGGGAGAAGGAGCAGGGAGAGGGGAGGCCAGCTGTAATAGTGACTCGGACTGGACAGGCGGTGGACACCCTAAGGAAGGAGCAGGACTAGAAGAAGGCGGAAGACCAAGAACCTGCTCAAGGAGCGGAACAAAGTACGGCCGCGGCCGCGCAGCACCTCCAGAACCAGCAGGGACAACACCCGCACCCCCAGCGTCAGCTCCAACTCCAGCAGCACCACCAGCTCCAGTACCTCCAGCAGCTCCAGCTCCAGCAGGACCACCGGCAGACACACCAGCTCCGGCTCCAGTACCTCCAGGAGCACCCACTCCAGCAGCACCGCCAGCTCCAGCTCCACCAGTAGCTCCAGCACCAGGAGCACCACCAGGCCCAGCAGCTCCAGTACCTCCAGTACGAGCACCTCCGGGACCCGTGGCTCCAGCACCCCCAGCAGAAGCAGAACCTCCAGCACCGGCTCCAGCAGCACCTCCAGCTCCAATACCTCCAGCAGCAGCAGAACCTCCAGCACCGGCAGCACCTCCAGCTCAAGCAGCACGGCTCCAGCGCCAAGCAAACCACTCGCGCAGCTCCTGTGGAGAGGGAAGCTCCCGCCGGGACAAAGCACCCGAAGGACCTCCAGGTCCAGAAGCAGCAGGCTCCGCACACCCACTCCCAGCAACCCCAGGCTCAGCACCCCTAGTCTCCGCACGCTCAGGCTCAGCACCCCCAGAAGCAGCACCCCCAGGCTCCGCACGCTCAGGCTCAGCACCCCCAGACCCAGCACCCCCAGGCTCCGCACGCTCAGGCTCAGCACCCCCAGAAGCACCAGAGTCAACAGCTACCTCGACAGGCTCGACTGCATCTACCTGGGACACACCTGAGGGGGCAGGAACCTGAGGGGGGAGGGGGTCTACCGGGGGGGGACCGGGCGCAAGGAAGAGCGGCGGGGGGGGGAGGGGGGCAGTGCGGTAGGGGAAGAGACGGTAGTACGGAACTGACTCGTCAAACGTGACGTCCTGGGAGGACAGAACACGATGCGAGGTGGGGTGGTAAAACTGCCAACCAGGCGCGTCAGGGGGAAAGCCGAGGAAGACGCAAGGAACAGCACGGGAGGACAGCTTGTCCGCAGACAAGTCTCGGACGAAAGCTCGAGATCCCCAGACACGGAACGCAGACGCATCACCAACCTTCCCCGTCCACCGCAAAGTAGGGGAGGTCTCCGGCAGGGAGACCCGGGGCTGAAGGTTGATCTGATGCGCCGCGTACTGAACCGCGAACGGCCACAGAAAATGGGGAGCAGCCGCATGGATCATGGACGTACGAGCGACGTCCATGACCATGCCAATGCGGCGCTCAGCAATCCCATTTTGCTGTGGAGAGGCCGGAAGCGTGAACGTCTGGCGGATGCCCTCCGCACGACAGAAGGCTCGCAGAAGGTCGGAGGAAAACTCTCCGCCTCTGTCGGAGTGCAGACGCAGAACAGGAAAGTCCGAGCCGAAACGCTCTCTGAGCTGGAGACGAGCAACGCGGATCCAGTCGATCAACACCTCAGTGACCTCACCCTTGCGGCGCAAGGGGAAGACTGTGGTGTAACGCGAGTAGTCGTCAACCACCAGCAGGAAGTAGCGCTCGTGACCCTGTCCACGGACGCGGGCTGGGCCCCACACGTCCATGTGGAGAGTCTGCAGCGGAGCCTCTGTCGGGGGAAACTCGGAGGAGTGAGGAGCGGCGCGCTGCCGCCCCTCGACGCAGGGAACGCAGGTAGGGGCAGGCCCCGGGGGAAGGGGAGGGAGGGACCGGGGGAGACCAGAGACAAGGACACGGGAGGCCATGCCTCGGAGACGAGGCAAGGAGGGGTGACCAAGGCGGTGGTGCCAGAGGAGGGTCTGGTGGGACAGGAGGCGGCACGAGCAGGGGGCAGACTCAGGACCTGACCGAGACGCTGCAGCAAAAACCTGACTTGACGCAGCTACCTGACCAGACACAGCAACTGGGGGAGACTCTGTGGTCAGTGTATAGGCTCGACCCCGGTCGACGGGTAAATGTGGCCAAGTGGCGGCCCGTCTGAGCACACGTGCAGTGGGTCACTCGCTGACTCGCAGGAGTGAACTGGTCAACTTCGGCATCCTGAAGGTCAGCACCACTCACCAAGTTCGTAGAGAACGAGGGGAGGTAGAGACCAGACAGGGAGCCGGACGGGGCCGCCGGACACGGGAGGACAGTGGAGTAGCGAGCAAGAACAGGTTCCCCAGAGGGGTCGGCCAGGGAGACCGCAACCGGCCGACTGAGCGGCGTAAGGGTGGTGTGGTCTCGAAAGAAGGAGCGGGAAGCACCCGAGTCGAGGGTGAAGGTGTGCAGGGCCTGAGCCGACGCGGTACCTGAGAGAGCAGACTCACCAGCACCTAGAGCAGCAGACTCACTAGCACCTGGAGCAGCAGACTCACGAGCACCTAGAGCAGCAGCCTCAATGCCCGGGTCAGGCGGAACACACACGTAACAGTCACCCTCAGCACTAATAGACACAGCATACATGGCAGCAAGAATAGCATCAAAGTCAAGATCAAAGATAGCTACACCCGACTTGAGCAGATCACCCCAGCGAGGGATCTCAGTGGCGTCAGGGAACTGGGTACGCCAGGCGTCTGTCAGGCGACCGAAGCAGCGCTGGGTGGCGTGCTGGCCACCACACTGCTCTCCAGTGCGGTCGCCTGTGCGCAGGACGTAGGCACAGGGACCAGCACCCCCAGACCCCTGGCGCCCTGCGTACCACTCACGAAGCTGCTGGGGCGACGGGGTCTCATGAGAGCGTGACTGGTGCTGGGGTCCCCGCCGCACAGCTCCGCCTCTACCAGCTCCACCTCCGCTGCCGCCGCCTCCGCCTCCTCCACCCCAACCGCCACCGCCACCGCCGCCTCCACCTCCACCGCTGCCACCGAAGCCCCCACCTCTGCCACCACCCCCACCCCCACCCCCTCCTCCGCCTCCACCGCCACTACCGCCTCCCCCACCACCTCCTCCAGCGCCCTTGCCCCGCTTGCCCTTGCTGTTGCGGCGCCTCTCACTAGGAGCAGACGCAGCGCTGACGTACTCGGTGCCAACAAGGTCGACATCAGCAGCAGAGGCAACGGAGGGCAAAAGAGGAACGGGGGAGCACCCCTCAAAGAAAGGGGTACGGGGGTCACCACGAGAGGCTCCTACAGCGGTAATACTAGTCTCTGCTGCAAGGAGGCGCTCCTCGAGGAGGTCAACGGTGAGGGTGGTAGGGCAAAGAGAGAGGAAGTGGTCCCTGACCGAGCGAAGAGTGTCAGGGAGTCGGGTGACTAGGTAGTAGAGGGTGATGTACATGGGGGGGGGGTTCTTTGCGCAGAACTCAGCAGGAAGTGCAGCGCGGTAGCGAGTGTCACTAGTGCGGAGGTGCGTAATGAGGTCAGTGACTGTGGCAAAAGCGGCGAGGTCAGGGAACAGGTACGGTAGCATGAGGCGGCTAAGCGCAGCAGTGGCAGGGGAAGAGTAGCGTGCAACGACAGCGTCGTACAGAGTCTTAGCACTCTTGTACTGACTAAAGTGCGCGCGCTCAGTAGACGGTAGGTGACTACGCACAGCAAGGCGGGCAGCAGCATCGCGCGTGAGCCACTGCGAGCGAACAGTACTGTCAGCATCAGCAGCAGGGGCAGTAGAGGCGCCAGACGTGAGATCGAACAGTGAGAGACCATCCTTGCTATCGCACTGTAGGAAAAGCTGCAGATCATCTAGCCAGACATCGAAGTCAACCGCTCGACCCTCAGCATCAAAGGTAAGAACACTAGGACTAGCCATGACAGGAGCAGCAGCAGGCTAGCAGCAGCAGCTGTGCAACTTGGCTAAGTGACGCGGCTAGGCAGGGCAGCGCGGCTCGGCAGGGCGGCTCGGCAGAGCGGTGCGGCTCGGCAGCGCGACTCGGCCCGGCGATGCTCTTACCAGGGGCTAGGCCGGGTCAGGGGCGGGGGAGGGTCGGGGCAGGGTTGCAACAGGTCCGGGGCAGGGCCGAGGCCGGGCCGCGACAGGTCCGGGGCAGGGCCGGGGCCGGGCCACGGCAGTGCAGGAGCAGGGCCGGGGCAGAGTCGGGGCAGGGCCGGGGCAGGGCCGGGATAGGGCCGGGGCGAGGGCCGGGGCAGGGCTGCAACAGGGCCGGGGCAGGGCCGGGGCAGAGCTGCGACAGGGCCGCAACAGGGCCGGCTCAGGGCCGCGACAGGTCGGGGCAAGGCTGCGACAGGGCCGGGGGAGGGCCGGGGCAGGGCCGGAACAGGGCCGCGACAGGGCCGGAGGAGGGCCGGGTCTGGGTCGCAGCAGGGTCGCGACAGGGCCGCGACAGGGCCGCGACAGGGTCGGGGCAAGGGCGGCGTCGGGCGACGGGGCGGGGCCGAGACGAGGGGCCCGCGACGGGGGGGCCGCGACAGGGGGCCGCAACGGGGGGCCGCGACGGGGGGGGCCGTGACGGGGGGGGGGGGGGGGGGGGGGGCGACGAGGGGGCCGTGGAGGGCCGGGCCGGGACGACGGGGCACCAGGCGACGGGGCGACGGGGCGCCGGGCCGGGCCGCGACGCGGCGGCTTGGGGCGCCGGCGCTGGCTCTAAGGGCAGGTGCAGGGGCCGCTACGGGCCGTTACGGGCCGCAAAGGGGCCTCTACGGGCCGTGAAAGGGGGGGGGGCACTACGGGCCGCGAAGGGGCCTCGAAGGGCAGGCGCGACGCGCGCGTCGGGCAGGTAGGAAAAGAAAAAAGAAAAAAATTAGTGGTGGGCCCTTAGGAAAAATCGAACTAGCTCTATACCGTGTGAAGAATTGAGGAATGGGATGACTAGGAAATGAGTTGGGTACAAATAGGAAACCCTAACAAACTGTACCCCATAGTGTCTACCCCACTACAGCCTAAACAGGCTATGTGATTAATGTTTGACAGTTCTTGAGCAGCTGAACCTCCTGAACAAGTCCTTCCAGCAACGACAGGTAATTCAGTTTGATTGAATATGTTTTACATTGTCGCGGAAGCTACCATACTGAGACTGTGTTCCTCCCCTTTCTCCCGTTGGCAGTTGGATCTCATCTCTCTTAATGCTCAGATCAAGCGCACGACCTCACACTTGGAGAGTCGATACGTCGACGGTGGGGACGACTTCGGCGGTGGCTCGAGCCGCTGGCTCTCTCCCTTTATCGAGCGCTACGGTCCTGGAAAGAAGCGCGACGTGACTATGGAGGGAGTCGACTCCGACGGCCGACCCGAGAAAATCACCTTCACGCTCCACGACAACCCAGTGGACGGGTATGACGGCCCTGAGGATCACGACGGATGCATTGACCTCTGCACCGACTTTGCTGAACGCATCGTGGCAAACCTGGAGAGGAGGCTGGGTGACCTAGACTCACTGTCTGTTGTCAGGCTGTTCATGCCTGATGAGTGGCCGAAGGGCAAGCCGGAGCGACATGCACGATGTGTGGAGTGGTTGCTGTCGCTGGTGACGCTGTTCAAGGCCCAAGATTCGGAGGAGATTCTGCCAGGTAAAGTAACCATCGTTCATCCCGGTTGCTCTACCTCTGGTAACTGCCTTTTGCCCATTCCCTAGTGCCACGGTTCACACTCAGCCTACTAACTCGTGCTGCCTTGTTTGCCCCTTCCGAAACCCACTGTTACGCCTTTCAGGAATCAACAAGCAAATGGCACAGAAGGAGCTTCGGCTGTTCTGCTCTGTCCTTGCTGCTGCACCACAGGGGGAGAGGACGTTCCACGAGGGCCTCACCACGATCCTGAAGACTCCAGACTGGCGCGAGAGCTACCCCAACCTCATGCAGCTATGTGTGGTGGTTGCGGTGATTCCCCTTAGCACTGTTGAGTGCGAAAGGGGCTTCTCGCGCCAAAACGTCATCAAGTCGTGGCTTCGAGGTGGGCTGAAGGATGCAAGACTGGGTGACTTGATGTGCTTGTCTCTGATGCCGTACGAGCCGGTGTTTGACGAGGTGGTGGACATCTGGAGAAGCTACAAGAAGAGGAAGCCGTTTTCAAACTCCCCCATTTCCACCCTAGGAGAACCCAGCAAGAAGGGGAAAGTTGCAGCCGTGGAAGTAGAACACCCCAAGCCTGTAGATGCTCTCGAATTATCTAGTGATAGTGACGATGATGAGGATGAAGAAGATGATGTTGACGAGGATATGGCTTACCGTAAGTAGTTCCTGTACCGTACCGTTCTTCTCTCAATGCTAAACTTATAGAACGCTTGCTGTTGTAGGTAGGACACTCTAAAGAAAGTTCAGCCTTTTTTATTTGGTGACTCTGATTGAACAGCTGGAAGGATTCCCGAAGAAAGGTTACGGGACCTACTATGAAGTTGTAGGCACGTCGTGTGCACTGTTGGAAGCACGTCGCGTGCCCTTTTCTCAATGCCACACTTTGAAATTGAATAACTGTGTTGCGCTTTAGGAAAGCTTGAAGTTATGTTCAACCTTTCTTTTTAAGCAAGGCTGAATGATCAGCCATTTATCTAAACTAAACACTAAAATTTCAGCTTTTTTTTTCAAGGCTACCCTGATTGATCAGCCTTCAGCTCACTCCTAAGGCTGACGATTCAGCCTAGGCCAAAACGAATCTGAGGCCCAGGCAAGGAGCTAGGCGAACCATAGGGTGCGTTGATTCTTTAAGGTAAGTAAGTCTCTTCTAATTTCTTTCATGTTTACATGAATAATGATTAGAAGTTGGTCACTATTTTGCCAACCTGGACCAGCGGCTACTCCGCGTTGTGTGTTATCAAATGTTAGTTATGGGCACTGTGACCAATATTTGGCATCCCATTTTCCCCATGCCAAAACATAACTGGTAAATGATGTTGAGTTGAGAAAAGCCCTTACGATCGTTTTCACGACTTAAGTCTCAGAGTAGTGATGTATTAGCGGAAGCGTAATAGTGAACTAATTGAACCACCTTGCACTAGTATGTGTCGGAATCAACCGTGCAGGAATGATTGACAAGCAAGTAAGGATGAGTACAAGTACTAGATTTGACCTAAAGTGTTATACTCAGTAGAGGCTACCCCACTACAGCCTACACATACAAATGTAATTTGACACACCCCCATAGGCAAAGTGGGGGATAGCAAACACAACGAACGTGTTGAAATGAGCTCATAAGCTAGGGAGCCATAGCTAGGGTGTGAGCTAGGCAATTGTCGAGAGTAAAAAGTGAGAGAGGAAAGATGGTTCACTAAGAGAAGAAAGTACAAGATATACGAGCGAAAGATGGCAAAGGGTGCACCACCTACAGGAACTACAGCAGTAAATACACTACAGCTATAACTATATGCAGTTATACAGCAATATACATAAAATATATTCTGACACACCCCCTAACTGCATGCAGGAATAGCCATGTGCAGAACACCCCCTGAAGTGGTACACCCTGCGCAGCAGAAGGAGAGGGCAAATAAGGAGGAGGCTGCTGATGCTGCAGCTGGACTCACAGCACCCCCTCAACCTCCCCCCGTACAGCAGTAGCAGCAGCAGTGAGGAGAGAGAGGAGGAGGTGTGGCGAGAGTTGCTGCAGCTCTGTCACCCACCACCCACATCCCCTGAGCCTCCCCACCACTTCACACTCCCCCCCACAGCAGCAGGTGCGGCTGTGAGAGAGAGGAGGCAGGTTGGCGCTGTAGGTGCAACCTCCCTCTCACACCCTCCCCTCCCTTCCCCACCCCCCAACCCCAACTGCTGCACGTGCAGCAGGGAGAGGGAGGAGAAAAGGGGGGGAGGGGGGGGGGCGGGGTAGGGGCTGTGCATGGGGCTGCAGATGCGCGTGCAGAGGGCAGCAGGGCGCACGGGGCGCACAAGACAGCAGGGCGTGCGTGGCGTGCAGGGCTGCAGGGCGCAGGGGGTGCGCAGGACAGCAGGAAGGGCTGTAGCGGCCGCAGCAAGGACTGTAGCGGCAGCAGCAAGGGCTGTAGCGGCAGCAGCAAGGGCAGTAGCGGCAGCAGCAGGGGCTGTAGCGGCAGCAGCAAGGGCTGTAGCAGCAGCAGCAAGGGCTGTAGCGGCAACAGCAAGGGCTGTAGCGGCAGCAGCAAGGGCTGTAGCGGCAACAGCAAGGGCTGTAGCGGCAGCACCAAGGGCTGTAGCGGCAACAGCAAGGGCTGTAGCGGCCGCAGCAAGGGCTGTAGCGGCAACAGCAAGGGCTGTAGCGGCAGCAGCAGGGGCTGTAGCGGCAGCAATAAGGGCTGAAGCGGCAGCAGCAAGGGCTGTAGCGACAACAGCAAGGGCTGTAGCGGCAGCAGCAAGGGCTGTAGCGGCAACAGCAAGGGCTGTAGCGGCAGCAGCAAGGGCTGTAGCGGCAACAGCAAGGGCTGTAGCGGCAGCAGCAAGGGCTGTAGCGGCAGCAGCAAGGGCTGTAGCGGCAACAGCAAGGGCTGTAGCGGCAGCAGCAAGGGCTGTAGCGGCAGCAGCAAGGGCTGTAGCGGCAGCAGCAAGGGCTGTAGCGGCAGCAGCAAGGGCTGTAGCGGCAGCAGCAAGGGCTGTAGCGGCAACAGCGAGGGCTGTAGCGGCCACAGCAAGGGCTGAAGCGGCAGCAGCAGGGGCTGTAGCGGCAGCAGCAAGGGCTGTAGCGGCAGCAGCAGGGGCGCGCGGGGTGCACAGGGCAGCAGGGCAGCAGGGCGCGCGGGGCGCGCAGGGCTGCAGGGCGCGCGGGGCGCACAGGGCAGCAGGGCAGCAGGGCGCGCGGGGCCCAGCAGGGCTGCAGGGCGTGCGGGGCGCACAGGGCAGCAGGGCGCACAGGGCTGCAGGGCAGCAGGGCGCGCAGGGCAGCAGGACAGCAGGGCGCGCGGGGCGCGCAGGGCTGCAGGGCGCGCGGGGCGCACAGGGCAGCAGGGCGCACAGGGCTGCAGGGCAGCAGGGCGCGCAGGGCAGCAGGACAGCAGGGCGCGCGGGGCACGCAGGGCTGCAGGGCGCGCGGGGCGCACAGGGCAGCAGGGCAGCAGGGCGCGCGGGGCGCAGCAGGGCTGCAGGGCGCGCAGGGCTGCAGGGCAGCAGGGCAGCAGGGCGCGCGGGGCGCGCGGGGCGCACAGGGCAGCAGGGCGCGCAGGGCTGCAGATCCCCTCCCCCCACCGCTGCACTCGCAGCAGGGGGATGGAGGAGAAGTGGGGGGGGGCTGGGGGGGGGCTGGTGCTGCAGATCCCCTCCCCCCACTGCTGCACCCGCAGCAGGGGGATGGAGGAGAAGGGGGGGGGGGGGGGGGGGGGGGGGCTGGTGCTGCAGATCCCCTCCCCCCCACTGCTGCACCCGCAGCAGGGGAATGGAGGAGAAAGGGGGGGGCTGGGGGGGGCGGGCTGGTGCTGCAGATCCCCTTCCCCCCACTGCTGCACCCGCAGCAGGGGAATGGAGGAGAAAGGGGGGGCGGGGGGGCTGGTGCTGCGGATCCCTTCCTGCCACCCTTTGAACCTCCAAGATCCCGCCACCCCCATACCCCACTGCTGCAGCCGCAGCAGGGGGATGGAGGAGAAAGGGGGGGGGCGGAGGGGGCTGGTGCTGCAGATCCCCTCCCCCCACTGCTGCACCCGCAGCAGGGGGATGGAGGAGAAGGGGGGGAGGGGGGGGGGGGGGGGGGGCGGGGGGGGGGGGCTGGTGCTGCAGATCCCCTCCTCCCACTCCTGCACCCACAGCAGGGGAATGGAGGAGAAAGGGGGGCGGGGGGGCTGGTGCTGCAGATCTCCTCCCCCCTACTGCTGCACCCACAGCAGGGGAATGGAGGAGAAGAGGGGGGGGGGGGGCGGGGGGGGGCTGGTGCTGCAGATCCCTTCCTGCCACCCCTTGAACCTCCAAGATCCCGCCACCCCCATACCCCCCCCCCACTGCTGCACCCGCAGCAGGGGGATGGAGGAGAAAAAAAAGGGGGGGGGAGGGGGCGGAGGGGGCTGGTGCTGCAGATCCCCTCCCCCCCACTGCCGCACCCGCAGCAGGGGGATGGAGGAGAAGGGGGGGGGGCGGGGGGGGGCTGGTGCTGCAGATCCATTCTGGCCACCCCCTTACCCTCCAAGAGCCCACCACCCCCATACCCCCCCCCCCCCCCCCACTGCTGCACCCGCAGCAGGGAGATGGAGGAAAAGGGGGGGGGGGGGGGGGGGGGGGGCGGAGGGGCGTCAATCGCGGGCGTAGGGGCGTCGGGCGATGGGCCGGGGCGCGTGGGCTAGGGGCGACGGGCCGGGCTAGGAGCGACGGGCCTACGGGCCGTGCTAGGGGTGACGGGCCGGCCTAGGGGCGTCGAGCGACGGGGCCGGGCCTAGGGGAGCGACGGGCGACGGGGCCGACGGGCCTAGGGGCGTTGGGCGACGGGGCCGACGAGCCTAGGGGCGGCGGGCGCAAGTGACAGGTGAAAGGGCCGAGGGGCTACGGGCCTAGGGGCGACGGGGCCGAGGGGCGACGGGCCTAGGGGCGACGGGGCCGGAGCCTAGGGGCGACGGTGCCGACGGGCCTAGGGGCGACGGGGCCGAGGGGCCGACGCGACGGGGCGACGGGCCTAGGGTCGCGAGGGGCCGAGACGATGGGGCCTAGGGGCCGCGGCTAGGGGCGACGGGGCCAAGGGGCCGAGGTGCTCCAGCTAGGGGCGACGGGGCCAAGGGGCCGAGGCGACGGGGCCTAGGGGCCGCGGCTAGGGGCGACGGGGCCAAGGGGCCGAGCCTAGGGGCTAGGGGCGACGCCAAGGGGCGACGGGCCGGGGCCTAGGTTAGCAGGGCAGTAGGTGGTGGGCCCATGAATATTAGGTCCTAGAAAAGACCTACTCTGATAGCATGTTGAAATGAGCTCATAAGCTAGGGAGCCACAGCTAGGGTGTGAGCTAGGCAATTGTCGAGAGTAAAAAGTGAGAGAGGAAAGATGGTTCACTAAGAGAAGAAAGTACAAGATATACGAGTGAGAGATGGCAAAGGGTGCACCACCTACTGGAACAATAACAGTAACTACACTACAGCTATAACTATATGCAGTTATACAGCAATACATATAAAATATATTCTGACAGAACGGTCACAAGACCAGTCAAGCAAGAGAACACAGCAAAGCAAAGCTCGGGGTGGATCTCAAGGACACCACACAATCTAAGCACAAGCAAGTGGCCACAAGGCCAGTTCACATGCAGAGTTATAATAGCAAGGCAGTACACTGATCACAACCTAGCATGAGTAGACAAGCAGGTATAAAGATATATATCAGTGTACAACAAGAACAAGTCAAGCAACCAGCAGGTGAGGCAGAGTGGGCACAAGCCCAAGAGCAGTGCAGAAACGCTGATGATCACCAGACCCAAGGGCCTTGGTGAACAAATCAGCAGTGTTGGCCCGCGAGGCCACGTAGGAAATGGGGAGCTGACGACGCTGCTGCAGCTAACGCGCAAGGAAGTAGCGAGGAGCAATGTGCTTCGTTCTGTGCTCCAGCCTTTGCTCGTGACACAAGGCCAGCATTGCCTTGTTGTCGACGTACAGAACTGGAGGAGAACAAGGCCGCTCCCCCAAGTTGGTCAGCAGGTAGGTCAGCCAGCGTAGCTCCTGTGCAGCCATGGCCCCAGCGTAGATCTCGACCTCACAGCTATAACCAAGCACAGAAGAAGAACGAGTGGACCTCCACATGTGACGAACGCTGAATCGCCTGGTCGTCGGCCCAAGAAGCGTCGGAGTGTCCTGTGAGTACAACTGAACCCCATCCTCCAAGCATGAGCCCCATGCCCGATGTACTGCACAAGTAACGCAGTACCCTCTTCGTAGCATCCCAGTGCACCTTTAGTGTCTACCGAGAGCCACGTAGCGAGCCAGAAGGCTGAGAGGGTACGGGAGGTCAGGTCATGTGCACGTCATCAAGTATATGAGGATACCCACAAGCTCTAGGTACAGACCACTCGGCTCTACGGACTCGTCCGAAGGTGGAGCTGAGAGCGAGTGGTCGGTGGACAGAGGAGTGGGCTGTGGCGAGGAGAACTCGAAGCCGAAGCGCTGAAGGACCTGGTGCACCATGTGTGACTGAGTAAGGGTGATGGTGCGCCGTGCTCTGTGCCGAGTGATCTGCAAGCCAAGATAGCTACACAGCTCACCCAAGTAAGTGCACGTGTGTCTCTCCTGCAGCTCCGCCTTCACTAGGGCCAGTGCCTCAGTGTCAGCAGTAGCAAAAACCAAGTCGTCGACGTACACGAGAACGTAGAACGGCGGCAGGGTAGTGTCGGTGCGTAGAAACAGCGACGGGTCAGCAGAGGAAGGAGCAAACCAAAGAGCTGCAAGTGCAGTCCTCAGTGTGTCGTGCCACTCTCGGGGCGCCTGGTGGAGACCGTAGACTGGCCGCCGGAGGCTCCACTGGGTACCCGCAGGAAACGACCCAGTGAAGCCAGGTGGGCGGCACAGCCAGATCTCCTCGTGAAGGCTGCCATGCAAGAAAGCTGTGGAGAAGTCGAGGGAGTGCAGCATGTAGTCACGCTGTGTTGCAACGTGCAGCAACACCCGAAGAGTATTCATCTTCGGGGTGGGGGAGAAGGTCTAGAAGTAGTCGACCCCCTGTCGCTGACTGAAGCCTCGAGCAACGTAACGTGCTTTGAAGGCAGGCGGAGAGCCCGGCAGCCGCTTCACTCTGAAAATCCACATGACATCGACAAAGTTCGGCCCAGGAGGAGGAACCTCGTCGACGTAGGTGCCTGTGGACTTCCAAGAAGCCATCTCTGCGTCCATGGCTGTCTGCCACCGAGAGGAGTACTCATCCGCGATCGCCTCAGCGTAAGAGCGCGGGGTAGGGATGTCAAGTGCATCCGGATTTCCCTTACGGCAAAGCAGCATGGATGAGAAACGAGGTAAAGCGGCCGCAAGACACTCAAGCTCAAATTGCCTGTCCTCAAGGATGTCACTGCTAAGGGCATGCTCACCCCCAACAGACGGAGGACAAACAGATTCAGACTCAGTAACAAGACTCGCGACGTAGACGAGACGACTCCTAACTGCAAAGTCGACTAGCTCCGTGACTAGGGCAAACGCAGTAGTAGACTCAAAGTCAAGGTCAGTGACAACAGTAGCAAGGAGACGAGTGACAGTAGGACTGGCAGCACGAGCAAGGTCGAACTTAGGGTCAGGAACGTGCGGAAGAGAGGACGCGGGAGGCTCAGGCAGGACAACACGCTGTGGAATAGAGGAAGAACGAAGTGTCATACTGTGAGTGCCTGGGACAGCAGGAGGACGAGGACGGGCGACACGACGAGCACGAAAAGGTGTGCAAGCACGAGTCTTAGGCTCACGACGCTCAGTCAGGGACTCAGTCACCTCATTGTGAGGAGCAGGAGCAGGCAATGGGGAGCCAGGCAGAAGCTGTGGCTGAGACTGGTCTGTCGGTGGACACAAGAGAGGTGGAGTGAGGCCAGTGGAAGACGGGAGACTAAGAACCTGGCAAAGGACCGAGTCATGCGGTGGCAAGGACGACTGCGGCTGCGGGTAGAAAAATAGTCGGCGCGGGGTAGTACCAGCAGCTCTAGCTCCTCCAGCACCAGCACCACCAGCACCTCCAGCACCAGCAGCTCCAGTAGCACCTCCAGCACCAGCAGCACCACGAGCTCTGGCAGCGCCAGCACCTCTAACACCAGCAGTACCTCCAGCACCTCTGGTGCCAGTAGCTCCAGTAGCACCTCCAGCACCACCAGGACCACCTGCTCCGGCAGCTCCTGCACCTCTAGTACGAGCACCTCCAGGACCAGCAACTCCCGCAGCTCCAGTACCTCCAGCTCCAACGCCTCCAGCACCAGCAGTACCTGCAGCATCTCCACTGCCAGCAACTCCAGTAGCACCTCCAGCACCTCCAGCACCAGCAGCACCACCTGCTCCGGCAGCTCTAGCACCTCTAGTACGAGCACCTTTAGTACCAGCAGCACCAGCACCTCCAGTACTTGTAGCACCAGCACTTCCAGTGCCAGCATCTCCAGTCGCACCTCCGGCACTAGCAGCACCACTAGCTAAGGCACCTCCATTACCTCCAGCTCCAGCGCCTCAAGCACCAGCAGCATCTCCAGCACCTCCAGCAATAGCTGTACCTCCAGGACTAGTATGTCCAGCACCTCCAGCACCAGTAGCACCTCTAGGACTAGTAGCTCCGGCACCTCCAGCACCAGCAGCACCTCTAGTACCTCCAGTACCAGCAGCACCTCCAGCACCTCCAGCAGTACCTCCAATACCTCCAGCACCAGCAGTACCTCCAGGACTAGCAGCTCCAGCACCAAAAGGACCATACCCTCCACCACCAGGACTGCCTCGCCAAACGATCCGTGCACGAATTGCCTGCCGCGAGAGCGTCTCAAGTAGATCAACCTGTGGTGGCTGTCCAGCTCCAGGACCTCCAGCAGGGTCACCCACAACTCCACCGCCACTAGGACTCGCAGCACCCCCAGAGTCAGCACCCCCAGTCACAGCACCCCCAGTCGCAGCACCCCCAGAACCCTCACCCTCTGTCTCAGCACCCCCAGGCTCAGCACCAACAGTTTCAGCTCCAGAGTCCACAGCAGTAGGCTGCGGAAGCGGCGAAGACGGCCGAGGCAGAAATCCAGGAGGGGTCTCCAAGTGTGGAGAGCGGCGAGTGGCCGCCGTGTCGTCAGCGGTGGGGTCACCCCCCTCAGCTGGGCCAAAGGAGCCAGAAGAGATCTCCAAAGGCTCAACCAAGGGGGGTGGGTCTACCTGAGACACACCTAAGGGAGCAAGACCCTGTGGGGGGAGGGGGTCTACCGGGGGGGGGACTGGTACCAAGAAAAGAGGCGCTAGGGGGACCGGGTGGGACGTGTGCAGGTGTAGCCTGTAGAAACAGACAGACTCGTCAAAGGTGACGTCCTGGGAGGAGAAGACTCGACGCTCGCGCGGGTGGTAGAACTGCCACGGCGGGGCGTCGGTGGGGAAGCCAAGGAAGACACAGCGGAGAGTGCGAGAGGAGAGCTTGCTCACTTTGGCATCGCGAACAAGGGAGAGCACGCCCCAAACCCGAAACACCGACGCATCGCCAACCTTCCCCGTCCACCAGAGTGTGGGCGAGGTCTTCGGCTTAGAGACACGTGGCCAGAGGTTGAGCTGATGCGCTGCGTATCGGACCGCAAATGGCCACAGAAAATGGGGAGTAGCCGCATGGATCATGGAGGTACGAGCAACCTCCATGATGAAGCCAATGCAACGCTCATCAATTCCATTTTTCT